GGAAGATAGAGAAGGCTTCTATCATATCTATTTTCATAAGTACATTTCTGCGTGTTATCACACTTCTTTCATGCAGTTAAATTGTCAGGAGGATGAGGAAGAGGGTTGTAGATCTACAGCTGAATGGTGTCCATGTTGGTCTTGTGTAGGTAGGAGGTGCAACATGCAGTGGATTTATGGTGTCCTGCCTCAAACTGCTGGCTGAGCTGAGAGACTCATACAGGTTTTCTAACATAAATGAACTAGAGTTTGCTGTGGGCAGAGCCATCCGTTCAATGGGACCTGAGATTGTGCTGAATGCCATTTCACTACAGGTATCATAAATTTGATTCTGTGCATTAATATTGGAAGGGTTTGGTTTGTTACAAAATGATGACTAATTTCTAGTATGTCTGTTAGTTTTATTAATTGAGAATTTAAATATTACCACACAATCATCGTGTTCAACAGTGATATTTTGAATAGATGATGAAGGAGGGGCATTAATGTAAAATGTGCTGTGATTTATTTTGTGACAGATAACTGGAGAGGAGACAAACTATGAGTTCAAACGCAGCTGGTTGCTACCAGTACTACGAGAAAATATGTGTAGTTCACGCATTAAGTTTTTTCTCAGCTACTTCCTTCCCTTGGCAACTGTCTGCAAGTAAGAGTACATACATAAGTTTCATTGTTTAACTACGTGTCTTTGCATGTAATAGTTCTGCTCTTTGTGAATGTAATTTTATGACATTAGTACTGAACTTTAAAAACAAAATTTTGTCCTAATTTGGGCAAGTATTTTTAGCATTCCAAAGAAACAGACTTCTTTCTACAAACCAAATAACTGAATTGCACATGTTTGTACAGCTCTTTCTCCCATGATGAAAGACTTCAGTGTTTTAAACTTTGATATCACCATCTTTGTCTCCTCCTCTTCCTAGCTAATCCCAATTCCTGGACCAAGGATTGGGATTAACCCCTTCTATCTAACCCAGCAGAATAGGTATTTTCACTCAAAGATAGGAGCACACTTCCAAAACATAGTGGTCTCATTTTTGAATGAAACAGCAATGTTGAATGTAATGCATCATCATTAGAACCCTTTTAGGGTTATATGTATATGCCATGTTGGTGCTCCATAGTACAGTACATGTGGCTATGACCCATCAGTTTCCTGTGTGTGTTTGAAGATGAATTCTTGCTTTAATTACTTTATAGGAAGCGAAGTATTGCTCTGCAAGATGTGGGTGATGAAGTTGGAGCCCACAGCTTTAAGCTTCTGCAGTCTCAGATTTGGGCTCTTCTTCCATGCTTCTGTAAAAATCCAACTGATCTAAAGGATGACTTCAAGGTATGTTCAAAGAGTTTCTGATGTTAGTGTTTATGTTAAATATTATACTTCAGACTTTGTTTAAAAGATCTGTAAGAATACATTCCAGGGTAATGATTATGTATGAAGTACACAAATTAATGCAATTTTTATATGCGAGATTCCAGTTATTGGGTTCAAAACGAGGTAATTGAAAATTGTCTTATCATTTAAAAAATAAATCTGAATTCTCTGTCCATTCTGAGTATTGTCTGTGTCAGTTTACTTGGTGTCTTCACTTAATGGTAGTGATTTTGGCTTTGCCATTACTTTGTTTACATAATTGGATAGCAAAACAATAGTCATTAATAAAATAACATGGCATTGTTTTCTTCATTGTTATTTGTGCACACTACATCTCTTTTTATTTTCAGTTGTCAGGGAGGATTTTCATGTTTCCATTCTCATGTACTTTAATTTTCTTGTCATTTATTTTGAGTCATTCATTTATTTGACTTCCTGCATGTGTAAAAATTCCATGATTTGCATTGCATACAACAATGTTCATGTTAAGAGTCATGATCATTCTGTATTTTTATTTTTGAAAGGTTATTGCGAAAATTCTTGGAACAGCTATTGGAGAGTACAAAGATCTACGACTGGATACAATGACAGCCTTACGCAAGCTGATAACGAGCAGCCAAGAAGCAAACAATGAGGAGAATGTGAAGGAGATGGCTCGATTTGCCAAGAACTACTTGCCCATCCTCTTCAACCTGTACACTTCTAAACCAAATGGCACAGACGAGGAGGGTCAGCGGCTTGCTGCATATGAGACTATCAGGGTACTGCTATGTAGTTAATTTTCAGGCATAGTCAGAGAAATTATTTTCAATATCATACTTAAGTCAGATTACTTTTCTTTAGGGAGGCAAATATTTGGTCTCTTGTCATGTTGATATTTAATTATGTGATTAATCTGTCCTCGTCTATTTACATGTGTATGAATCTACAATCCTATGATTGGTAGAGGCTGTGTATAAGTGATTATCTGGTTACAGGTTTACTTACAAATTGCCAGTCCTGAGCTCTGCCAAGAATTATTTGATCGAGCTTTGGAAAAGTTAAATACTGGAGATGTGGATACATTTGTAAAAGAAAGTGTTCTGGACCTCCTGCGAGCACTCCTACCTTATCAGGACAAATCACGGCTTGCTCTGTTGTATTCCTGTTGTGAGGATAGGTTGACCAATACAAAAAACCTCCATGAACAGAAGAAGGCCTACAGGTGAGTAAGCAAATATACAAAAATCTCCATCATCCTGTCACCCTGATGATGGAGGAAGCAAGGATCTTTGAAACAATGGTAAACTTCTATCAGACTATACGGTGCAACAACCCAGGAGACACCCGTCACTGCCATGAAAACCTCAAATTCTAACTGTTATCATATTTATATTATTAATATTAATAAATAATTAGTGTTCAGAAGATTGCTGAATGTATTGTTTGAAGTCTGAAGATTATGGTTTGTGTGATGGCAGATAAAAATTTACAGTGTTTATCCTCAGTTTGATAATTCTAATATTATTTGATGCAGAACAAAAATGATGATTTTTCTCATTTTGTTTCTTAGGTTGCTAGAGGAATTGTGTGGGAGTAGTTCAGATTCTTGTAAAGCTTTTGTGAGTGACAATCTGCTGAATTTACAGAGACTTCTTCTGCATTCCCTGTCCACTTCAGCTGCCTTCAGCAAAGGAGTGAGTTAATATTCCTTATTTGTGTTCTTTTATGTAATATGGTCTTTGTATTCATATGCTTTTTCTGACAAACTCCAAATGGGTACTATTATTGTCGTTTAATATGTTTAAAACGTTTTATGATTGTCAGATTATTTTATCACAGCTTTTCAATGACTCAGGTTGTTATATTGCAACAGGTGATATAATGATTATGAATTACAAAGGGCGCGGTAGTACTAGTCACTGAGCTGCAGTGTTCGGTACGCAGATTGTAAAATAGTAATCAAGGCCATTTAATAATTTATCTGAGGCAGTGAAATGCCGATATGAATAATATGGTTAATTTTGTTTAGTCATTTGTACAAATTACATTATTCATATAATTTAAAGCTGTTAAGAGCCACACTTGAGTACATCTGAGTAATTTGTTTATAAATATTTTTCTTAATGCATGCCCATCTTGGTTTTGTTTTGAATAAATATAATGTTCAAACTTTGCATTTATTTAAAGGGATGTTTTTAGACAAGAAAAAAGTTGACCTTTGGATGTTAAAAGATTAAGTTATCAATCTCCCATTCCCTTAGGTACATTGTAAATCCATTTCAGTTTTTTAAATTTCAAAGAATGTCAATGTCTGATCATGAAACTTGTGGTAATACAGGTATGTGATGCAAAACGGACATCACAATAAGTACATAAAGGACCTGGTTACCTCCAAAATTTCTGTACTCATTTAGGTAATGGCATATTGTGTGTTAGGTCCCCCCCCAAATCCATTGTTCAGCAATAAACAACTACTGATATTTTGTAGCCACGTCTTCGATGTCTTAGTCATCTGGTGACAAGGCTGGATCAATCCCAACTGGATATGTTGAAGCAGATTGTTCCTGAAGCCATCCTCTGCTGTAAGGATATTAATGAGCGGTGTCGCTCAGCAGCTTACAGTTTGTTGGTTCTGATTGGTCATGTGATGCAGGTAAGGATCCATCTAATTCATGTTTTTTTTTTCAGTGTTTTATTGTGTATGTAACCTTTATTTACCAGATTTTATGTGACTTAATACAGTTTCAAATGACATCCCATTGTTCAGCCTTGGTTGTCATGAGGGACCTGGTGGTCCAGGCATAAGCCACAGCCCATGATCCATTTTGAATTTTCCTGAATGCTTTCCTCTTCGCCTCTAACAAAATAAAAAGTTTGTGCATGTAAGAAATATCAGGAAATCACAGCATGGAACTTAAAGAAATGTGGCAGTAATGTGACCTCCAGTGGTAAGACCTTCCTACCAAGTTTTATGGAAATTAGCAAATTGATTCACAAGTTACTAATGGGAGATGCATATATAACATGCGTGACCCTTTAATGTGTATGTCTTGGCAGAAACTGGACTATTCAGGAGAAAATACAATGAAAGACTACATGGGGCTGCTGCTAACTGGGCTTGCGGGTTCACCGACACTGATATCTGCAACCATTCTTGCATTGGCCAGAGTTACTCATGAGTTCAGAGGTAGGTGCGTGTAATTTTCTTACAGTGAAAATATAGCAGATGTTGATGTCATGATAAAATGTCATAAATGATTCTTTTATTAACATTTTGATTTCTCTGTAAATAAGGAGTGGTCATGTAAATGATGTGTAAGCATTGTCTCTTTTGGAAATCACGCCTAAAATAATGTTTGCTACTGAAGTATTGTTTATGAGTAGTTAATTGTGAATACTGGAAATTTTGTAAAATTCAAACCTGTACTTCAACCCAACCTGAAAACTTTGTGTCAATGGGGATACTGGAATACTGGGAACGGCCCGTTCTTCAAGTGCCTGAGCACTGCGGGTCGCAACTTTTCGTTGGCTTGATCTATAGACATTCGGTAGAACTCCTTGGACGAGGGGTCGGCCCGTCACAAGGCCTCTACCTGTACACAGGACAGCACAACACAGAAAAAGGCGGACAAACATCCACGGCTTGAGTGGGATTTGAACTCACGGTCCCAGCGACCAAGCGGCACAAGGCCCACGCCTCAGACCGCGCGGACTCTGCGGACCCGTATATCATTGGAGCCACAGAAAGATAGGCTCATTGCAGATGTGTTTCATTATGATTGTATTACCTCATGTGGGCCACAATACCAAAGCCAATTTTGAATTAATGTATAGGACATGAAATTAAATGACATGGTTTGATAGATTTTATTACGAGATAACCTGTTAGTTCAGTGAATGTTAAAATATGTTGTAGTTGGAACTTATTAAGAAATTACAAAGTAAATCTTCACCATTATGTGCAAATGTGTAATGAAAATGCTGCAACCATCCATTAATCACTGCTGCATTATCCCAGCAAGTTTGGGTGGTTGGATGATAAGGTAGGTGGAGGGAGGGTTAGACACCTGATGAATTTAAAGAATAGAACGATGAAAGGATTCTTCCATAGTCTGAATCTTTGTGAACCTCAAAATTTTCAAGTGAGTTTTGGGTGTCTGAGTAATTGAACTTGATGCATTAGTTAAGTACACGAAAGGAACATGCATAGCATGTTTAAATTTTGAACCTGCTAACATATTTTGAAAGAAACTAGTAATGAGGGTCTACATTAATTTAATTTGTTTGTTGTTCTTCTTCTTCTATGTCTCTCCGGTCCGTATTCGGTCCATGGCCCCTCAGTTCTCCTCTTCCATTTGGTCCTCTGTTAGGTCCGTCTTCTGAGGTTTTGATAGACGTTTCGAAACATCTTCCTCTTTACGGTGCAAGGTTGTTAGCCTTGCGACCACCCCCCAACCTGGAGGACTAGGGTACCTGTCTTAGTCTGACCTCTCCCTCTCGACCAATCTGGCTAGGGAGGCCCTACCAGTAGCTATGCTACCGCCAGCATAGCTCTTGGGGTCACTGAGGTACTCAAGCCCCACCACCACGACAAGGTGCAGGTACCATTAAGTGGGGAGTTTGTTTGTTTTAATCACTAAATATGAAGCCCAAATTAAATTAACATCAGAGCCAATGAAGTATGCAAAATAGTAAAGTATGCATTATTAGAATATGAATATTCCATTGGCATACATCTTTTTGCATTTGTTTAATCAGTTGTTTTTGGATTCAGATTCCATGCCCTTGGACTTGGTGAAGATAGTGTTGGAGAACATATGTTTGCTGTTGACTTCACACACACGAGAGACAGTGGCATCAGCACTAAGTTTCATCAAAATGTTTCTCACTTCATTTTTATACGACACTGTTGCACCGGAAGTTTCTCTTATTGTAAGTATCCTCAAATTCATTGATAATTATGAAAGTTTTAGTAGATAAGGAAATTACAACATCTTTGTGCCTGATGAAAGTTAGTTGAAATCCAGCAATTTGACGTCACTAAATTGTTCTTCTATTCCTTATCCTCCTTTTATTTTGCCAAAGGTCTGTTGCAACTCATTCATGAACTAAGGTTTGTTATTCATAGAGTTAGTGTGAAGGAAGTGGATTGTATATGTTGTTGATGGTTTAATTAATTTGTCTATTGAAATAAAAATTCAAAGGAGAATGAGGCAGTAAATAAAAATACATAATATCTGAGTTGATTGTGGTCTTGTAGGTGGTTACCATTGTTCCTTCATTTTTCTAGGTGAAGAGCATTGTAGGAATGACAGAAGACTGCAAACATCATTTTCGCTTGAAGACCCGTAACTTGTTTGATCGTCTAGTCCGTAAGTTTGGATTTGAAACCATAGTGGCAATAGTTCCAGCAAGTGACCTGATCACTCATAAACGATTGCGGAATCTGCGCAAGATCCATAGTAGGAAGAAGAAAATGCAAGCCAAGGATGCTATAGATGAAAATGAGAGTGATCTGGAAGAATCATTTTCAGTGAAATCACGTCCTAAAAGGTTTGTAAATAGTTTTTATTATTCTTGGATGATGGAAGCTATGTCAGAAGTTGTTCGCTCAGATGAATACACCAGTGAATGAAGATGATGATGATGAAGAATGGTGGTAGGTCTAATAAGCTGTATTTACAGAAGGAAGAGCCTTGTGTACTTAGTCTCAGTTATGCTTGAAATTCCATTTTCATAGCTTGCTCCCTTTTTAATATTTTACATGCTATTTTATGAACCAAATAGCCATCCACTTCTGGATGATTACACACAGTATTTTCATTATATAATTTATGTAATTTTCTTCATATCCAGCCTTTACATTATGCTAGTATAAATTCTGGGTTGAGTGATAGTCATATCATATCATATCATATCATATCATGTATTTCCAAGCCAGCATGTTGATTGTCTTTGAAGATTTCTGTCTTCTGGGTTGTGCTGTGTAGTCTGGTCGATGTTAACCAACGTTTCAGAGGTCATACTGCCTCCGTCATCAGGGCGATGACGGAGGCAGTATGACCTCTGAAACGTTTGTAAACATCGACCAGACTACACAGCGCAACGACCAAGAAGACAGAAATCTTCATACTCACCGTTTGATTGTCTTTGCTTGTTTCTTGTGCCTGAAGCTTGTCATTGGCATTATTTATCAGTATTTCTGTCCAGAATTCTTGAACGACATGTTGTTGATATTTCATTAAGAAAAGAACTTACACGATAATGGGTTCATAAGTGTGACCATTTCACTTGTAATTAACAGATTTTACTAAACTGAGATTGTTGCTAATAAAAATATGCTGGCATCAGAAAGTCTCAGAAACATCCATACAAGACACGAGATTTAATCATATAAGACTGATGCAAAATCAGTGCCTGAAATGTCAACAGTCGTATTGCATGTGTTGTAGCATTGAAGAAATCCTGGCTGAATCAGAAGAATCTGACTTGGAAGTAGATGCAGTTCCTGCAGTAAAATCAAAAAAGAAAAAGAAGGATTTGAATACATGGATCCATGAGGATGCAGATAATATTATAGACTTCACTGATAGGACTGCTGCAAGGAAGATAACTGGTCTGTACAGTCTTAATTAAAAGCATCCTGTTGTGTGATGATTTAACCAAATAACAACAAATCCATCCACATGACTATTTTATTTTATTATTTACGGGTTGGCTCCATGATATTGATCCAAAATAGACCATCTTTAGCTGAATTTTTGTTTAGGATACTTTTGATTAACAGAATTGTATAAATATTAAAATTACTTTAAATAGTTGAAATTATTAAAATTTATTGTCCAGGTGGGGACAGCAGACATATTCCAAAGAAGGGTGTTCATCAGTTCACAGGTGACACACATGGCAAAAGACAAAATGTGGCACCCCTTATCAACAAGGGGACTACTCTGTACATTGCTTTTGTGTATCCTTACACTTTTTAAGCAATGACAGTGCCACTGACACAAAGATCAAAACTAAGAGACTGGAAACTGAGAAATGCTTTTGACTTAATGAATGGCACCTGCTTAAAATATTACATTCCTTCAGAACATCTTGCTGTGAACAAAGTTTACTGCTTTTCAGAGGAACAATACATTTTGGACAAAATACAAGCATTTTGTAATCAAAATTTATAAATTGTGTGACAGGACTGGTCACATATATGGCATGGAAGTCTGTTAATGGGTAAAACTAAATAAAATAATTGTGTCAATGGATTTTTATATTATTTGGTCTGTAAAGTGATTTTCTTTCTTCTGTGTAGTCTTCATTAAGATCTGTTCATGTTGAAAGCAGTGCATTAAATTGGAAAGCTTTATGTGCCATATCAGTTTATTGCAGCTTTATTTGGTTCATATTTGTTGTCGTGTGTGTTACAATGGACAGAGATGAAATGGGTTACTCAGTTTTTGCTGTTATTTTGTAGCAACACAGCCTGGTGAACAGGGCATTGTGGCAGTGCAGAACAAAAAGAAAAAGCAGTCAGCGTTTAAAACAGCGTCAGATGGCAGGCTTATTATTACAGAGGACAACAGTAGTGGTGAAGATGAACATGCTCGCAACTTGGACAGTGGTAAGTTATCAGCATGGAAATAATTGCCAATGCGAAACACAGTAAAAGACCTTCTGATGGTGAATTTCTGATGAGGCAGACTGTTTTGTTTTTGCTATGTAAAAATTCCTTATCTTCTGCTGTGTCTTTTTCCAAAGACATTTCTACTTTGATTGTGGACAATGTTCAAGTAAGGAAAAGCTAGGCAGAGAAATACATAATGTAGTAAATAGCAGATAAAGATTGCAAAACCTGTTATGTGCAGATAATGAAGAAGAGGACGGGAAGTCTTTGAGGGCACCACTTGGACGGAAGAGGAAGTTTAGTGAAAGCACAGATGCAAGTCAGCCTGCCATGAAGTATCAGGGTAATACTGTCCTTACATTATTTTGTAAAAGAAAGCTGTAGATTTCTCACTCAATCAGGATTCTGTTGTTTGACCTATGCATGAATTCGTTTAGATAAATTTTATTATACTTCTTTATTTTATTTATATATTTTCAGTGACACTGTTGGTAGGTCACTATACTGTATGGCACTGAACGATAGGATGATAATGAATAATAAATTGCAAAGGTTATAATATTATTAAGACACACTGCAGGAGGGGTGTCATGATGCAGCATATAACTCTGTGGAGGATGATGGGTTGTGAAACATCAGAAAATGCTAAGGGAAGTCCTGGAAATAAGTTCAGGTTAAGAAATTTTATTCTCACCCAGTGCTGATGTCTTCTGTAAAGCATTGACAACTCTGAAGTCCGTCACTTCTGCCAGCACTCTTATTGATTAAAATGAAAGCCACAAGCATTTTTGTTATTCATTGTGAGTGCTTTTACTTCATTCATTCATTTTGTTCACAAGTCATATGTTTGGTTTCAGTGGGAGGTTCGGGTATTCATCGACCTACTAAGCGGCCATCTGGGCATTTTCACGGGACTTCAGTGGCAACTGGGGCTGAGTACCAAGCCAGAAAAGCAAAGGGTGATATTAAGAAGAAGGGGAAACCTGACCCATATGCATACCTACCCCTCTCTCGCAAATTGCTGAGTAGACGGTAAGTATCTGCAAGGATCTGGGGTTTATGAGAGAGAAAAAATTGTTTCAGCTTGTTTCATTTTTTATCTGTACTCCCTCCTCTTGACACGAAACAGACTTTTGTGTTTCATATCAGGTGTTGCCATGTGAGGTTTTAAATCAAATGTTATCGATTCTCAGTTGAGTGATACCTGTACATAACAGTTTATACGAAGCCCACATCACCGTGTTTCACTTGTATTTATTGATTGCTACATTATTTAATAATGTGAGACATGCGGATGCATACAGCTTGTATCTTTTTTCTCCTTTTGGAAACCAGCCAAAAAACATTTTAATGAGATCCACCTCAGTACACAGCAAAGAGTTCTGACATTAATTATGCAGCAGTGTTTTTCTCAGTAATCAGTTTGTGAACTGAAACACTATTTCTTCTGCAACTGATACTTCGGCAGCTGTCATAATACAATGTGGGGATTGATATCAAATTGGAGTTAGGCAGCGGGAAAGCTAGCCTGCTGATAACACTGTAATCTTAAAAGTTAACGATTCACCCAATTAAATGAAAAGGTAATGATGAAATATGGTGAGCACAGACATGCTTAGTCACCCAATACATTACGTTGATCGTGACTACCAGACAGTTAAATTTGTGGCATTATAATAATTCATTACATGTTAAAGACATTACTGCATGATAGCACAACTTGCAAATTTTGTTATGCATTTTCAGTCAGTTTTGCTATTAAAAAGTTCACTAAGAACAAATGTTTGAGATACTTTTCATTTTTGCTTGCATTGTGCATAACCATGAAGGTTTCTAGGCAGGCATCTGAAATTGTTATGCTCAGTGTATGTGTGTTAGGATGAATGAAAATGTATTTACTTGGCATCTTTATGGCAGCAGCAAGTGATGGAACTGGAAAATACATATTTCGAAAATGGAACAAGAAAGATCGTCAAGGATCAGGGGCTACAACAGACCAAGGATTAGAACTTGATTTTACATATTGCATAATTATACACATTTAAACTTGGTTGTGTTGTCTTTTTTTCAGTAAGAAGAAGAGTGCGGGCCAGTTCACAAGTTTATGCCATGCTGCTCGTAAAGGTGCACAGAAGGGAATTCAAGCCAGAAAAAAGGACACTAGAAATAGGAAATGAAAGATCTTGTAATCTAGCAAATGTCAGGATTAAATTATTGTTATATTTATTTTGAATTCTTGTAAAATGTGAATATTGTTATTTTGATGATATCGGCACATTGTGGCAAATATTACAGTAATTTATGTTCAGTTTTGAATGCTTGTTCTTTAAAGTTATTTATTCCATCTCCAGTTTCAGCACATGTCTCCTTAAAAGTAATCTGCAGTCTAACTGTTGCTTCATCCTTCATAAAACTGTACACAATATATTTTAGTTATGGTACGTAGACTGGCTTTGAATTATTAACTCTGAATTAGAGTAGTGAAAGGCCAACATCATGACAAATCAGATTTCTCTCACAGAATTCGTAAAGTGAACAGAAACAGGTCACAGTTGTGATAGAGTGCATTCACTATATGCCCCACTCCTCTGGTTGCATTGTTATATTATTCTATATTTGTACTTTTTAATTTATTTGTATTTTACTATATACAGTACTGTAAATGTGTAAAAAAATATTGTGGTTTGTTTATTGTGGAATTTCAAGGAAGAGAAAGGATTTGTGTGTGTGTGAAAGAGAGAGATAAGTTTGCCTACTTATAGGAGGGTTTTGATTTTTTGTAGTGTTATGGTGCTTATTTGAACATGAAATTTTGAGAATCCATCTTATATTATAAGACAGAAAAATATTTGTCTACAGTAGAATATACTGAACTACCAGTCGCTAAAATCTTTGATAAGGTTGATAACATCATACACTTCAGGTGGTGTAAAAAAATTACATAGTACTGATCCTGTTTGTGCAATTGAACAGTATGTTTCGGTGTTAATTGTGGTCATCAACAATCACATATGTAAGTAAAGTAAAACTGTCCAGCTACATATGCATGGGGGAGGTAGATCTTGATACAAGATGGAGTTAATTATCAGTGTCAGGCCTTGGCTGTGCTTTACTTCCAGAGAAGGGACTCTCAGTTATCCATTAGATAATAGGCTGGGTCTCAGAGTCTGTCTGAATGCAGAGGCTAGATGAAAAATTTCTCACCTTTGCTGGGGATTAAATACAATGAGCTACCCTGGCTTACTACATGTAAGTACATGCATTGAAATAATATTTTGTAGTGTTATTCAAATTGTAAAAAATATTATGTTTATATAATTATTCTTATAGAATAGAACATCATCTACTTATTGGTATGAATATCATAGTGCGCTTTGCATGAAGTCTATATACTGCATGAGAAGTAACTGTCAATACAATTTAGGCATATCAAGGTGTGAGATATGTGGTCATGATGACAGTTCTGAGTTATGCCTTGCAGAATTAAATTTAGCAAGGTTTGCAAATGTTTGCTTGGTATTTCAGATTTTATTTAAATTTGTAAATACAATAATTATTACTGGCATAAACGTCACTTAGCATCTTTCTTATACAAACAGTTTAGAACAGACAATACTAGAGATAAGACGTTTCCTTTAGTGTCATATGCCATTTTGTTAAATCCACGTTAAGTAATGGAACATTTCTCATTTTAGTGATACAATTTGTGGTTCTCACAGTGGCAAATATGACGACGAAAGTGTTATGAATTGTAATTCGATATAATCTTGATGTTTACGTTTCAGATGTACTTGCTGTGTCCGTTACCACCTGTGACATTTCTTTCCTCATACTAACCAAAAAACTTGAGTAAACTTGACATTGGTATTGTATAATTAGCCATTCCATTGACAGCGTTTCGACACTGCCATAAAAGATAAGCGTCGGTATCGTGGTGAAGGTTTTTAATTCGGCCTTTCCCTGCCATATCTCTCTTTATGTCACCTTCGTATCAGACAAGTTATTACCAATGGATATACGGCACGCATTGCACACCCCATGCCTAATAGGTTGGTATTATTTATGTGGTGGAGATTTAATCTGTTGTGATGGTATGTATTTTGATGCGTGCGCACTAGTCGGAGATTCCGTTTATACACGTGACTTGTCTACACGAGGTTGCTAATGAAAAATGATTGTTATTCGCTCTTAGGCAGGTTACTTTTGGTTACGACATGAAATTTGAAAACATGATACCGGCAAAGCTGTAAATACGGTAATTCTTTGTTTTCATATTTAACTATACCAAGTACTAATGAAAGTGAGAATGTGATTCTATTTCATTGGTAATGCTACCTGTTATAAGAAGATCATATGCTTGAAAGGAAGTCTGTCTAATGTACTCTTGCAGTCAATATGGCAATTAGATATTCTGTAGGTCTGAGAATTTGTGATTACACTTTTTCCGTATCGTGGTTGATATAATTGTGAACATTTGACCCATCCATAAATTTAGCGAATTTTGCGAAAGAGGTATCGACAGAATCCAATCTTATGTGTTGGCGATAAAAATAGTGCTCATCACTATAAGAGGTATCGACAGAATCCAATTTTATGTATTGGCGATAAAAATAGTGCTCATCACTATTTATATCTTTAGAAGAGAACAGAATAGAGTTGAATTTATTTACATTCCATAGATCCTTTATAGGCCTAAGCCAAGGATGTAGAATATGCGAATACAAATACAATATAATGCAATAGATTAAATACACAGTTTTAATAGCTGTTTGCAGACTTATCTGATACAACATAGTATTATAGTAAAGTAATTACACCAAGGAATCATCATCATTGTTACGTGTGTTTATAATAACAGAATTATTGTTTAAAGTAAATTCTGTTGTTTAGAATTTAGACAGTGTTGATGCTTGCAGGTAGATCATTGACATATATGCGGAAACGATAATGGAAGAAGTTATTGTGATTTTATCCGATTCTGATGAAGATATCAAACCATTTGAATCACTCTCGAAGAAACGTAAAATTGATTCAGATTCACAAGATGAATATGAACCACTATCTGTTAAGAAAACGAAGAAAGTTAAAACAGAGGGTACAAAAACTATCAAGTCTGAGAAACCTAAGAAAAACCGAACTGCTGCAAAAGAAAGAAAACCAAAAGCAACAGTTAAGAGTACTGCTAAGGAAATCAAAGTAGTCAAAGAAGAGATCAAGAATGAGGTATTTATTTATTTTTCTATTGGAAAACTTTATATTTATCTTGAATTAGGCATCTCCAGTTTATTATTCATCAATCACTGTCATTTGAGGCCATATATCTTGAGTTATTAACAGTGTCAGTAAATAAGCAAGAAATAAGTAAATATACAGCTTCATTTTAACTGAGATGCATAATACATTAGAATTTTCATTCATGTGAACCAGATGTTTTGTTGTTCTTTCTAGTAGAAACTATTGTGTGTGTCACTTTCAGAATTGTCACAAAATTGTTCTCTGTTTCTTCATAAAATAAGAAATTCAACAACTTACGTATACCACACAATAAAAGTACTGAGAGTATAATTAAGTCACAAGATGAGAAAAATACTGTTACAATCTAATTTACCATCATTTACTTGTGTTAACCATTGACTTACTCCATAATATATGGTCCTTTCAAGCAAATGCTGGGATAGCACTGTAAATTAGGCCATGACCACTTCCTTCCACATCCTTTCCAATGTGCTGTCATCCTCTTATTCAATACTGTATAGTCTGAGCTACTGAAAAAGCATCGTTAAATAAACTACAAATAACAATATCCACAATAAGCATATTACAACATGAAGGCACTTCATTGTTGGCTAATCACAAGATGGACAGCAAATCTCATAATCAAACACTGAGTGAATTTGGTGGTTATACTGGTAGTATGGGATAGATTAGCCTTTCCACTACACACAGTCACTGTTAGTTGCCATGTTTCCTAGTCCTAATGACAGAGGCATAAAATATCCTCACTGTAAAACAATACTAAAACTGAGCCCATTCATGTCCCACATTACCTTTTCAGCAAACTGCTGTTGGGATGGGTTGTAAGAATGAGCCCTTGCCCATCTTTAACCAATTGTAAATACATTACTTCCCTATGGGCATTTCTGATCCCAATGTTCTATGTAAATGTATCCCAATAGAAAACAGGTATTTTTGAGAAATTCATATAAAGTAGGGGTTATAATGGGCTGATGGACAACACTTACCATACCAAATTTAATTGACTTGTAAGTGATATGGAGATGAAACATTAATACAAATGGATGTAACCCTCCTATTAAGCATTCATCTTTTGTATTCAGCACAAATAATGCTCAAGTTTATTGTAAGTAATTATTTTATGTTAAATGCAGTTTTGTAATTGTAAGAAGACCATATATGCAGCTGTAGATATTAAGAGTACATAATTTTAAGGATTGTATATCATTTAATAAATCTTGGTAAGAACACATTTATTTTCAAATCCTCTAAGAGTAGAATTTACCTCAGATACTCTATACAGTGTCATCTCTCCATATATGTCTTACGTTACCTGTAGTAGCACTGCAGTCTCTTGAATTAGCAGTGGCTGACAGTCACATGTTGTCAGACACATTGCCTATTGATCTATTTTTTCAGTAAATAGGCAAAAGTTGTCCTCACGCATTGGACATATTGTCATGAACCTCCATGGAACATTTTGTTCCTCTGTGAGAAGTTTTATCAGAGATCATTGTTTTGCTATAGAGGTGAGTTACTTTTCTGGTACAGCACGAGTGCACGCATGAAACATGTTGCTATACAGCACAACTCTCAACACTCTTAGATTGTTACTTTCCTCATACTTCGGCAGACTGTAGTTGTATTTGACAATGATTATATTTGAAACTTTCAAATTTGTTTTACTGTTCATATCTTGCAAGCCTTTTGTATATACCCATTTTGTGCATTCTGTTCATGAGTATCATGTTATAGTGGAAAGAACTTTTAATTTAATTTCACACTTTTTTCTCCCCGATAGCCTGCTCTTACAGATGCACCTAGCAGTTCTAATCCTCAGCAAATGCAACATGCAGAAACTTATTTTGAGGTAAGCAAACTTCTCATAATCTGAAATCTTAAAAAAAACATGTTTGGTGGTATAACTTCTGCCGTAATTGTGATAGAGCTCATTTTATGCTCATTTCAGAGCTAATAAAAATCCCCTTTCCGATGGCTTATTACACTTTTATATTCAGCACAGTTGTGTTTTCAAGGTTTTGGCTGTTGATCTTGTATTTCTCAAAATACAGTGTTTTAATTTTTTTAACTATATTGTGTGCACATAACTGTTATTTAATATCTGCGTATATAAAGTTGCGACTGCAATGGGATTGGGTTTTGTGAAGCAGTTTACTGTGAAGAGTCACTTAACGTGTGTTGGAGGCAACTTCAAGTAGCATGTTTATTTTAAATTCTGTACAGTTATTGATTTAGGTTAACTTAAATTAACTACATATATGTGTGTGTATATATATAATTTATTTATTGATAAATAGTGCAATTTGTATAGTAAGATACCTTCTTGTAAGAAACCTACTTGAAATATACTAATAAAAATCTGTCAGTACAATCTTATAATCTCTCAAAGGTGACTGGACATTAGACCAAAACACATTTTGTATAGATAACTTGTAATGTTCTGTCATCCTGGTCAGCGGAAGTGAATGGGGATTTTAAGGACCAAATCATTCTTAATGGGCTGAAGAAAGCCGGATTTCTTTTGAGATGTTGCATGTCATGTAGTCTGGTATATATTGATATTTCATGATAAGAGTGATCATTGCTACCAGATTACATGGCATAAAATTCCAGAAGACAGACATTTTCCTACACGGAAGCATTTTGTTTTTGGAGTTATGATGAATACATGAAATAAATTCTATTTTAGATCATCCTAACCATTTATATTGCAGGAGTGGACAGAAGCAGAGTTGGTGGCTGAAGTACAGGAAATTGAGATCAAAATAGCACAGAATGTTATACGCCTCCTAGATGAAGAGAATACCATTCCTTTTATTGCACGGTACAGAAAAGAACTGACAAATGACATGTCTCCAGAAAAACTAAGAGATGTTAAAGCTTCATACGAGATTGCCAAGTATGTGTGTGCTTTTGTATTTCAGCTACTTATAACTGAATTAATATTCAAAATAAATGGGTGGTTAGAATTTATGAACAAAGTTTATATACATATGTGTGTACCAGGTTTAAGCTGAGTAGGTGAACATATTTTTTAAGCCTGATTATTGTTGTATTTATTTTAGATCTGTCAAACAGAGGGCTTCTTTTGTGAGGAACAACATTACAAAGCTGGGGAAGATTACACCACTTTTGGAACAGTGCATTCGATGTGCTCGAAGCATTAATGAACTAGATCACATAGTGAGTAAAGAACTGAATGTTTACAATTGTTGTGTACTTGCAGGTGTTAGCAAGACTGTTGGTTTTAATGATTTATGATTACACTCAAGTTCATTTCAGCAATTCTGAGTGCTGCCATATTTCCTAAAACATAAACAAAAAAGACAAGCAGGAGAATTATATCTCTCAGTCTGTACAAGCAATTTTGAGTCAGTAGTCTGATCTTTATGAAGCTCATAATGAATGTAGAGATGTTGGTCTTTGACAGGGATTAAATTTCAAAATATAATCAAATTTAACACCTTTTGTTAATATCTGTAATTCTGTTCTTCTGATCCATTCCATGTACAGTACAGTCTCCGTGTAACAATGTCTCAGAATAATTAAAATATTGTTCATTTCATACCGAAGTATCATACACCCTTATGGAAAAATATTTTGCTGTAATCAATATTGGTACAACAAAATTTTAGTGCTGCTCTTCCCTTTAATAAAAGGGGTGTAATGATAATTGACGAGTAAGATTTATTTTTAAATTAAAATTTTAACACAGTGAAACAGTTCCCTTTTGATAGCTGGTAAGCTGACGTACTGTTCTGGCCCATTTATGTGGTTCACTAATTTGATAGCTGTGAATGCCGCAGGATGAATGTGGAACATTTTACTTTTTGGACAATAGATGTAAGGAGTCTGCAGAAGTGTTGTGGTTATTTTTAGACAATTGTTTCGTAATTTTTGAGTTCCGAGAATTCTGGTTTGGTGGTGCTTTGGCATAGATGAAGATGAAGCACTGTCATTATAAAAGCTCACTAATGGACTTAATCCTTGAAACAGTTTAATCCATTGATTCTGTTTTTAATTTCACTATTGGACCTTTTGAAAACTTGCAGCTCATTTTAGGATCATTTTTCCTATTCACCAAACATTAACACATTCAAATCAAGGAAAAGATGGGCAAGCCACTCATACAACATTTTGGTCTGAAAACATGAAAGGAAGTAACAATTTAGAAGGGAAATAGGGTGGAAGGTGTGGACTGGATCTATGCAGTTTAAGATATGGACTGATGGCAGGCTGTTGTAAACACTGTAATGAACTTTTGGGTCTCATAAAAGTCAGGACATTTCTCAACTAGCTGTGTGACTGTTAGCTTCTCAAGAGGGAGTCTCTTTCAGGGTGTTCTTACTTAACTTGTCAAGATGCATTTAGGGGTACATTTTGTGATTTTCCTATACCAAAGAAATTGACAATATTTCATCTGGTGAACAATGTATGTCACTGCAGAAACTCTTCACTGGTTTGATCAAACATGAAGAAAAGAGTAAATACTTGCATTGCTGAACATGGTGGACATTTCTAACACTTTATATAACATGGTTTCTCGTTTCCTGATTTCAGTGCAAATTATTTTTTGTCAGATGGAATATGTATCATTGATGGGTTGTGAAGAGTTTCCAGTCACTCTTTATTTGTTTGAAACTTTTGACTTCGCTGTATTTTCTAACTGCAGAAATAACATTTTTGATATTAGTGGTTTGGATACTCAGTTCTTGTAGCAGAAATATCGCTTTATCATATGTTGCATTTTAATGGTATACACTGTGGAACTAGAATTATGGCATTTCATTATTTGCAGTCTTTAACTTTGAAAATTCTGACTCTTTAATCTTCTAAAATGACAATTGTATTACTAGAAACTTTTTTACTCAGAAATACTTGATTAACATTCCCACAAAGTATGATATATTCCTTCTGAATAACTTTGTATTGAAATAACACAGTTACCATATTGTGGTGCCAGTTTTATATGTTAATACGATAGAAAGTCTAGTGCGGCAGCATGGTTTGTAATAACTAATGTATGTGTGCTTCTGAAATAACAGTACAGCCCATACAAAGTAGGCAGCAAAAATACTCTGGCTGTACGAGCTCGTCAACTAGGACTCGATGAAGCTGCAAATGCAATACTCAATGGTTCATGGTTTGTGTCAAGTGAGACTTTTGTAGACCCAATGAAGAAGGGACTACATTCTGTGAAAGATGTTGAATTGGGGATTCAACATATCATAGCAGATATTATCAGCAAGGACAAAGGTGTCCTGGACTTACTTCGCAAATTGTAAGTAAAACAACAAAAATATGATGTTATAATGCTTTTAAACTTTTATTGAACTTTATCTGAACTGGTAAAATTTAATTTAAAATGTATGGCATAATGTAATTAACATTTTTAGTAGGTGATTTTTCTCTACAATTAAAATATTTATATTAAACATGTATGTATAACAATATAGAACAGGACACATTTTAAATATGATTAAAAATTGAAGATATAACAGGATAACAGCAGTCAAACTGGTAGTGAAAACAGGAAGAAAAATTAATTAAATGATTTGAAGGCATGCACCTAAAAACTGCACTCAAAGCTGATAATAAAACTCAAAATTTAATTATACTAGTCCCACATTCTCTTAATATAACAGCACAGGTGCATATAATGTAACACCAGAGGAATTTTTATAGCAATCAAAGGAATAGATATCCATATTGGTCTCATAACATTTGTATCTAATTCACGAGAAAGTCATTCCTTACTTTGAGCATGTGAATGCAATTCACAGAATTAAATCTTATGGTGCAGGAGTTCTCAGGCTTCGGTTCACCACTACATGCTTTGATTCTAACAAAGCCTCACAGTTTTATTCTCGTTGACATTGCTGATGTTGACGCTGATTTTGTCACCAGCTGTATTCATAATTAACATATTTGTACCATAATTTCACACAGCGTAATAGTATTTTATTATAGCCTGTTATTGATAGGATCATCTATTCTCAGAATTAGGTACTTCTGCTGTTGTTTGAGCCACCTACCAACAGATACTTGTGCTTCCATAATCTCATATAACATGATATGGTTTTTATTTTATAGAGGTATAATATAAAATATGAGCCGGGATAGTTCAGTCAGTATAGTGACTAGCTACGGGCTGGACGGCCGGGGTTCGATGCCCGACGGGGGCAGAGGATTTTTCCTCTAGCCTCTGCATCCAGACCGGCTCTGGGGCCCAACCAGCCTCCTCTACAATGGGTACCGGGGTCCATTCCCGGGGGTAAAGCCGGCCGGGGCGTGATGCTGACCACTCACCCCCATCTAGTGCCATGGTCAAGGAAGAGAGGAGGTATACCTCCTCTCCCCCCAAACGCCTACATGGCGTATAGTGGGACAAACTTTACTTTACTTTTATAATATAAAATAAAGAAGATTTAAACATTATACTGTATTACTAAACTATGACCATATACAGCCAAACCCCATTAGAGCACCACTCTTTGTCTACCACAAATTAGCATTAAAGGAGGTTAGGCAGTAAATGGATTTTTTTTTTATTCTTTGTTTTTCAAAATACTGTAATTAGGATCTTGAGTTACAGAATACCCACATACTTTTACAAGTAAAATAAATTAATTCTTCTGTGTAATAAATTAAAATTAAGGGGACTGAAATTCGTGGACCGTGTTATACAGAGGTTACAGCTGATCCAAATGCAGTCTAAATATCTAAACAGAACCTAAGACTTTCTTCTGTGGATGAAGGTTTGTCATTTTGAGATTTTACCCTATGTATAGAGAAATAATACTCCATTTCTCCAAACAGGGTTTACAGTAATCAGTTTCAAGTGCTTATTTATTAAGATTATCATCTTATGGTTTATGTGCAGTCTTATTAGTGTTGCAAACTGTCACTTCTGTATGCTACACTGTTGATGGTAGTAGAAGATGGAGGCAGTTGGTTCCTACCAAGTGTTGGTAACCAAATGCAAGACTATGCAGTGATATAACCCAGAAGGCCACAATCAACATTTTCACTGCCTGAAAACCTTAAATTCCACCACACTTTAATTGTTTTCAGAAAAGAAAATGCAGGCATATTCTTAGAAACAAGTAAAGCACGGGCTACAAGAGAGAGAAAAACTGATAGTACGAAAGATGTGAAGAAGGAAGCATTGAGCAACAACCATAAAGATAAAGCTTATATTGAAAGCAAGTTTGAAAACTATTTCAAATTTTCTGCCCCTGTCAAATCTGTCAAACCTTACCAGGTTAGTACTGTCTACAGCATGCAATGTAATCTTATGATAAAGAACTTTTCAATGTAAATGTAGACACCACTTGTCAGGTGGTGATAAGCACTCCTACGCTTTTATTTCAGACATCCCCAGTTTGAATCTTTGTTGAATAACTGTTCTATCACTACATCCAGGCAGATACTGGGATCATATCTTAAAATAGGCTGCAAATGCTTTCTCCCACATCTTTTCCATTTAACTGTCACAATTGGCCTCCAATTTGGCATTATATACACCATGCAGTTGAGAAAGCATTATTAAATAAGCTAAAAAACATTGATGCGAAGTAAATTTTTAAAATCTCCACCAAATAATAATAATTTAAAAATAATAAATTTATATTTACTGTAACATTTAGTACATACTGATTTTGTGAAGAATTGAACAAGTCATAATGAGATGCAATATTATTGTGTGTTCTTTGCATAATGTGCATGAGATGAACACGTATAGGGCTGGTCATGTCTGTTCACCCATCCGTCTCTATATTCACGTGATGTGTCATTGATTTATGGCACTTGAAAATACATTAAGACCACATGATTTGTATAGTTTTAAACTATATTTGACTGAGTAAGAAAACTGGCATAATATTTTATTGATAATCCAGAATTTGAAAATAATGCTTGTGTATATTCTGCTTACAGGGCTTTCATTAGTCTCCGCTTTTATTTTTGATAGCAGCCCTGTGAATCTTTTGTATGGCTCATTTCTGTATGTGGGTGTGGGCATGTGCGTGGGAATGCGTATGTGTGTGCATTCACATGCGTGCATATATGTAACCTTCATCTGGTATATGCTGTTTCCATTCTTACATATTGGACTTTTAAGTTAACAGTTTTTCCCATCTGTTAACTCTCCTATTACAGAATAACAAAAGACTGTAAGTGTAATGTGTTTGCCTTTAGGTACTTGCAATAAATCGAGGGGAGAACCTCAAAGTGTTATCTGTGAAGATCAACATACCAGACTGGGTACTGCACCATTTGATGGAGTTTTGTGGCAGACATTGGCTATGCAAAGGAATGTCATATCCATTACGACAAAGATTAATAGAACAGAGTATCAGGGATTCTTATACAAGACTTAGTAAGTTCAAGAATGCACAGTACCCCTATTTCAGGAAAATAAAATACTACAGATGATCAATGTAACAAATTTGTATTAAACAGAGTACCATTTAGACCTTGATGATTCTTGCGGTCATATTTACAGTAATATATTTCACATAAATAACAATCAGTCTCCGTATCAACTCCTGCATTTCACTGGTTTATTGTTTGTATATTCAGTTTTAAAACTTCATATAACTTAATTAAGTTTTGATTTTTGTGCTGTTACAAACTTTTGTTATAATGGACTTCCAATGTATTTCTTTAAATTTTTTTTTTTTATGTAGTCTCTACCATGTTGCAGTTTATGTTCATTAAGCATATAATTAGTTCCTGGTTATAATAACCCAATGTAGTTATATATATTATAATTTGTGATAGTTAAATAGGAAGGGCACAGGAGGATAAAGACTCAAAATCGAATGATAGCATTTTCTGAATTTAATCTATGTGCATAAGTTGTTCTTTATGTCAGTTCAGCCATTGCTGGTGCGGCAGGTCAGATATGAACTGAGTCAGAAGGCTGAGCATGCAGCAGTTGAAGTATTTGCGACCAATCTGAAAAAGTTGCTGCTTTTGCCGCCTGTCAGGGGAAAAACAGTTTTAGGAATTGATCCAGGTAAAGTTTATTTCCTCTATGCATGCTCTTTGTCCTTTAAAAGAGAGCATCTGATGAGTTGACCATAGAAAAACATTTGTATCTTTTCTTTAATGAGCCGGGATAGCTCAGTCAATATAGTGACTAGATATGGGTTGGATCACTGGGGTTCGATTCCTGATGGGGCAGAGGACTTTTCCTGTAGCCTCTGCATCCAGACTGGCTCTGGGGACCACCCAGCCTCCTATCCAATGGGTACCGGGGTCCTTTCCCGGGGGTAAAGCGCGGCCGGGGCGTGATGCTGACCACTCACCCCCGTCTAGTGCTGAGGTCAAGAATGAGTAGGAGCTATACCTTCGCTCCCCCCAAGTGATCTACATGGTGGGACTGCTTTACTTTTACTTTTGTCTTTTCTTTTGGGATATGTAACAATTCTTTTTACATTATTTATTTTTTCCTTTTTGCATGTTCTTAACATATCAGCATATAATGCCTGATTATGTTTTATTTTTGAATAGTTAAAAAGTTTTTTACACTATTTTAATGCTATTATTTCTTAATATCTTGTTATAAAACCATAAATTTGTATTCTTTTCTTTCAGGTTATAAGCAGAACCTTTTTAAGTATATGAAATTACTACTGTATTTGTTTTCTGTAAACCATTCAGTAAAGTACATATTGATATAAAGAACATAGATTTCATGCAGAATATGATTAAATCATTACAGTTTATTTGACTGGGAAACTGAAACAAAGATAACTGTAGACTTAATTGATGTGTACAGGTTATGATAATGAAATGTAAGCCGTTAACAGTTGACTAAAGCTGGAAAAATGTGAAGATGACTATTTATTTCTGTATTTTGTCACACACTTTTGCTACTTGAGTTGTGGTGACTTTATTCTTGCAACAAACTGATAGAATGAGAAACTGTCATCTGGGTTATTGCGCTCTGTAGTCTGGTAGAAGTTTACCAATTTTTCAGAGGTACGGATTGCCCTGATGATGGAGGCAGCAAGGACCTATGAAATGTTGTTAAACTTCTACTGAACTTCATGGTGCAACAACCCCGAAGACATCCATCTTCAGACTCACTGCTGTGAAAATCTCAAATCCTACTTAACAGACTAAGTTTCAAATTAGGTAAGGTACAGAGCTAAGTAAAATTCAATATTGACTATATATTCTACATATATTTTATGTTTCATAAATTTTTATAGTAGGATATTATGTTCTGCTGCATTTTCTCTTTCCTTCCTCACAAGGACAATTGTCCTTTTTATGTTATGTATTAGGAAATAAATATTATATGAAATTGCTACTTATCAGTGTTAATTCTGTATTTATTTTAATTGTAGGTTTTCAAAATGGTTGTAAAATGGGCATTACCTCATGCAGTGGGAGTGTATTGGCAACTGATGTGATTTATCCACCATTTGACAGACAGATACATCCTAATTCAGATTCCAGTGCACGTAAGCTTAGAGATCTACTTGTAAAATACAAGTAAGTTAGATTTTTATGGAACTTTGTTTCCTTTGGTATGATTTTCACCAACCATAAAGAAGTACACTTGTGTGCACAGAAAGCTAAGTTCTATCATAAAACCTTGGTGTTAGTAGGAGAATGTTGAGGTTTCATCTGGATGGTTTATGAAATTAAGTAACAGTATGGAATTTGTAAATTTTGTCTAAATGAAGAATGGCCGAGTGCCAGGTTCCTGCTACTGATACATTTTACTCAAAATTTAAAGATATGACAGTGAAGAAAACTTGAAAACCTCTCAGATTTACATTGCTGATGAGTTTTGCCAGTTTGTACCCTTGTATCTGAAAAAGAAAAAGTCACTTGTGAAGTTTTCGTTTAGGTGCTGTGTAAAGTGTTTTATGACTATTTTTTAGTGCAGACACTGGGTGTCAATTTGTCTATCAGTCAATCAACAATTACCCTTCCAGAGCAAGTAGAAGGTAGTTGGTTTAGGGAAAGTACAATGCTAGTCTGTCCCTCACACTATGGCATGGCATACTACATGACTAACAACTAATAAAGAGGGCAGTAAGCTCTTCTGAAATGTCTATTAGTGTCTACCAGACTGCACAGTGCAACATTCGAGAAGACAGCCATCTTCATGCTCATGAGATCTTCAAGTCTTCCCATGTTATGCTTTGTTTACAGATGCGAATTGATTGCTTTGGGTAATGGTACAGGTTGTCGTGAAACAGAATCATACCTAAGTGATCTGATTCAGAAAGGCTGGTTTTCTCCTCTGGATGTGAAGTTCACTATTGTGTGTGAACAGGGAGCAAGTATCTACTCATGTAGTCCTATAGCTCAGAAGGAATTTCCAGACACAGATCCAAATATCATCAGTGCAGGTAATGGCAGCATGTTCTCAGGTAATTTGCGAGAATACCGATATGATTTATTTTAATACGATGCAAAACCTGCTTGGAAGGGTAACCCTTAAAAGTGTATCCAGTTGTACAGCCATGAACATTTTCCTGTTTTTGCTATACTTGCAGTTTCTTTGGCACGGAGATTGCAGGATCCCCTCGGAGAACTAGTAAAAGTAGAACCAAAGCACTTGGGCGTAGGCATGTATCAGCATGATGTACCTGAAAAACAGCTGAGTGCAACACTTGATGAAGTGGTAGTAGAGTGTGTCAGCTTTGTGGGTGTGGATGTAAACACAGCGTCTCATTGCTTACTCAGGTAACTTCAAGATTCCTTGTTTAGAATAATTAGAAAGATAATATTGAAATAGTCACAACTGTAATTATACTTGTTATTTAAGAGGGTGTGAAACATGGTCTGTCATATGGGAAGAATGTAGATTGGGGATATTTTCAGAACAGAATGCTGAAGAGAATTTTTGGACCCAAGACAGAGGAAGTAACAGGAGGTTAGAGGAAATTATACTGAAGTGCTTTATTTTGTACTTACCCCAAAGGAAGAAGAGTTTATGATTTTCAGATTTGAAGAATGAAGGATTGTCCTGGATTTGACTGAAATATACGTCAGTGTTTCTCACTATTTTGGTTTTAATTGGTTGTTGTTTTTTTAAGTAGTATACATCAATGTTTGCATCATAATGTAGCTTAGCAAATGAGAACTTCAGAAGTATGTTTCAATGTCAGTAGACATGAGCTGCTACAGATTGCTTGAAGAATGGTCATAGCTGTGATTTGGTGTTAATTCTCCAAGGTCATAAATTTTTGTAGTTCTATGTTCTAACATAGTATGCAAAGAAATGATCAAAATGTTTTTGTGAAAACGTGCAATGGGTAAACTTATCGCTTTATCATTAGGCCTCAGAAAATTCCATGGTGTATTCTATACACATAGGTTTCTTGCACATGAAACACATGTTTGATGGCATTCTTTTCTTGGATGGTGGACATAGCAGTTTTTTTCCCTCTTTCGTGTGAACTTGCGGTTTCTCCATAGCCATATAAATTCCCACTTATACAAACAACTGGTGGTTGCAGTATTGATGTCAGTTCTACAACACTGAGAATTTGATTCATATTTATGATTTTGAGGACTTATTTTTCTTCTTCTTTTGTTGCCCACAGTGTGTTACAGATTAAAATATATTCTTACATTGTGGTTGCATATAGTTGATGCTTGGGAATATGAAAGTAAGAGGAGATTTTGAATGTTAATAATATGAGTAATTTTTCCAGTGTCATCATGAATAAGCTACACATGCCAATATTTGGTCTTATTTTATTTTATTTTTTTTTTTATTAAGGAGGATGTGTGCATGATAGTTGAGAAAATATGGTAACATGATATTCTTAATGCTTAGTGCACAGTAGAACACAAAAGAAACATTTTGGAAAACACATGGATAGAATGAACAGTGTTACTATCACAGATAAAAATTGATAATATGTCTTAAATGTTGTACATTTTCAGGAAAATAGCAGGTCTAAATTCTTCAAGAGCTGAAAAGATAATTGAATGGCGTTTAGCCAATGGATCATTCATCAATCGACAGCAGTTGAAACAAGTAAAAGGCATCGGACCAAAAACATTTGAACAGTGTGCAGGTTTCATTAGAATAATTCCAGAGACAGCTCAGAAGAGGTGAGTTACTAAAGACTACACCGTCCATATCAAGCTTCATGGAAATGTCCTTTGGTTCAAATGCCATTTGGTGGAATGGCAGAAATATGGCATCACAAAGAGAGACAAAAGATGGAGCATTGATCATATTAATATTAATTATGTCATTCCTAAACTTATTTACCTTAGTACCACATTTACATAGCTAAATGGCCTGGATTTTACTTTTATTTTCATTGAAAAAATAGGGGATTATCATATGCTTGCAAATGAAGAAGGATGCGGAAAACACAAATGTTTAAGTAAGTCTTGCAGTCATCATTTCCAAGATATGTCTGAGGATTGAACACATTGAATTATATAAACATGCATATTACAGAATTCCCGCGCTGTAGCCGCGCGGTCTGAGGCATCATGCTTTCGGACCGGCGATATAGAATGCGCGCTGGTTCGAGTCTCGGGGGAGAGAAATTTTCTCATGAGATTTCGACTGGTGTATGGGACCGGTGCCAACCCAGCATCGTGAGGAAATTGGGGAGCTACAATGAGATTACAGAATTAAATGTGAGATCTGATTGAGTCACAGACTGGTTCTTATAATGCAAATATGTGTATTTTTATTTCAGGAATATAAATACAGATGGAGGCAGCAGTCAGTGTAAGAAACAGAAGTTTTGTATTGATGACACAGAAAATCCACTGGACAGGACATGGATTCACCCAGAATCCTATTTTGTAGCATTAAGGTAATATATAATTATAATAATCATGTCATGAGACCTCTTACAGTTTTTTGCCATCTGTTCAGTGGTCTTTCTCAGCTTCTTGTTCTAGTCTAGTATAGTATTCTGTTTCCATTCGGTTCAATAATTTTATATAAATTAAATTATAGCCTGAATGTTTTGTGTTTATGATCTAGTAGTACATAACCTGTAGTTCTCATAGATAAATTTAATTTCCAGCGCTGATAATATTTTCATATCCTTGTCTGATTGTTCAGGTTTCACTTCCATATACTGATACAGACTTTGTCCATGTTAAGTAAATGTTAAGTCTAGTATTTTTTTTTACTACTAAAAGTTTTTATGCCTAATATCTAATACATTGCTGGCTTTAAGGAACCATTTCCAAATGTTATTTGCCTTGGAGTTCTTGCAAATTTAGATGAAGAAATAAAATGTATTTAGAAGTGTAGATGTAAGAAATAGAACATTGTCTTTCAGTAAAGACAGGTAATTAAGTTTTATTACATCCTTAGCATATTTGGGTTATTAAGAGGCCTACTTCTGTTTTTTCACTAATACTGGGGGGGGGGGACACTAGAGAAGTTTCTTACAGCTTGTGTAAAATACTTCTGTATGTGATCATAATGAAGTCTTTCATTAAATTTTCTTTTTATACATAGTCTCCTTCTGACTATCACATATTTCCTGCTTTGAATTAGGTTCATTGCTAAATGTGGCACTGTGGTAGAGGATTTGGGGAAACCGGTCTTCATCAGTAAAATATGCAACACAGTAACAGCAGTGGGTAAGTTGATCTTTGTTGTGTGCAATTAAAGTGCGATAATATGTTTCTTCCTACACATAAAATACCTGGTGTGTTAATAAAATTTAGAGTACATCATCATCAAAGAACATGTTAGGGGCTGTTCATATCTGTCATGTTTTCCAGCCAGAGTGGGTCCATAGATCATTGTTCTTTTTAATGTTATTAACATTGTTATTGTTACATGAACAATGGAAATTACAGTAAGAAGAATAATAACAATGAGAATAATATTAGGAATAACAATAACAGTACAAATAAGGATATCAGTAGGAATTAGGATAACAAGGAGGAAGTATAACAGTATGTAAAAAATGGGAATAAGAATAGTAATAAAAATAACAGTATGAATAAGAACAACAATTATCTCTGGCCCTGGTTTTGTTTGAAAACATGACACAGATAAGTCACTGGTACACTTTATAAAACAAAAGTGCTTCTAAAGTATGTGTTTTATCAGTATGGCCAGAACTAAAGATGGAATCGTTAAGTCAGAATGACAGTGGACAGTAAATTACAGAAAAATAGAAGAAATACGTGCATTCCTCATACGTCCAGCCTTATCAATGCAGCATAAATGCTAGAGTGATAATGTGAATGATAATACTGACAATAATTTTTTGCTTATTAGCAGAAAGTTACTTTGCAACCATCAATTAGACAGACTCTTTATCACAATCTGCATATTTCAGTATTAATTTCCAGTTACATTTGGTGTGAGTTCCACCTGGTTGCCTTGAAATATACAGTTGAATAATATAAAAAGTTGGCAATTTTATTGAGTATGTATGTAGACATCTGGTTTTGAATTTTCACACATGATCCTTGTATCACTGCCAGTCCCATTCCCTGCCACTTGTTCTATCATGGAGCATGAGCACCATCTATGTTTGGCCATCTGACTCAAGTCACAGAACTCACAAAAGCCATTAACATTAATTCACATTTTTCTTTTTATTAGACAGACATAATTGATGTGTTAGCTTGGTAGAGGTGTGACATAAATAATTGAAATTAATGGATGTAGAGATAAGCCACCTATGGACAAAGACAAGAAGTTTACAAATGACTGGAATTATGATGCTTAAGCTATTGTTTGCTTACATCGCTTCTGGTCCTGGGCTTTTAAAATTTCAAGCCCTTCATTTGTGTTATGCATAGTGTACCTTAGTTTATCATGTGCATGAGAGTTTGACCATTTTCTTAGTTCTTCCTTAGCTCTCTATAAATTATTTTAGAAATATATTTGTAAATTTAAATTTTGAGTTTAGTTTATGTACACCAGGTTTAAACAAATTAGCAGAAGAATTTGGTGTGCCAGAATTTGAAATGAAACTAATTAGTGAAGGGCTGCAGAAGTCTCCGGGACATGATTTGCGGTCTCAGTTCCAGGAACCCCTGTTTCGCAGAAGTATTACATCCCTAGAAGATATTCGTCCTGGAGCAGTACTCACAGGTGATGTCTTCATTTTCTGTCTTTCCAAAATGAAATATTTGTCAAGTACTGTGATAGATGAAAAGAAGAATAATTTATCTTTTTAATATTATCTGTCACTGTCTTATAGTAACACATATGCAGAAACTGTTTTATGGGAATTCTCTATATAGACTCTCAGAGATATAGTTATAATTATTTTTGTACATATTTTTTCCAATTTTCTTTTGTAATTAAATTCAGTATATGAGTGTGAATATGCTTTATGAATTGTACTTACCAGCCAAGGGCTTAATTTTATAATTCTAAGCTACAGAGTGTTTATGTTAATTATGTGCAAGTATCATGTGACTGATTTTATAATTTTTACAGGTCGGGTACAAAATGTAACACATTTTGGTAGCTTTGTGGATATTGGAGTTGGTCATGATGGTCTGATCCCTCAGAGCCGACTTCGTAACACCATAGTGCAACTTGGAGACAGGATTGAAGTGAAGGTGTTTTCTGTTGATATCAATCGTCGCAGAATAGGCTTGGATCTTGTTCGAGTTCTTTGATGTTTTACAGTTTAAAATATACACACATATACTTTTTCCTTGAAAAAAAAAATATTTGTGAAAAATATTTGAAATTCCACAGAATAAGACCAAATAAGGAAACAAAGATATAGAACAAAATTACAGATCAGATTTTATAGAAACAGAACTACCATCACTATTGACTATACTTTTTTATGGCAAGAGTCTATTTTGTAAAAGTTTATTTTGAGTCACATTATTTGCCAGAAACATCGAAGAGTACAGTGAACAATGCAGTTGTAGGAATTTGGATTACCATTTTAAGTTTCCAGAATGTAAGAAAATTTGAACTTTTTTTTTAACCAAGCTGCAGTAACTCTGTTTTCTTTTGAGTTACAGGCGTGGAACAATGTGTTGGAATGAAGGTCTTGGTGTCTATCTGATTTACTCTTCTTTCATACAAATTTTGTACTTCATCTGAGTTTTAAGGTAAAAATTCAGTAGAATACAGTGTGAAATTTGAGGTTTTCAGTGGCAACGAGAATTCAGATTGTGGCTTTCCAAGTTGATATCACGTGGTTTTGTAGGTGGTTACCAACATTCTGGAGGAACATTGTGCTGTGAAGATGGAGATTGTGTTCCTCTGAAATGATGGTAACCAATGTAAGATTTGAGGTTTTCAGGGGATAAGAAATGACAGTGTAATTTGAGTATGCCTTTATGTCAGTACTTGAGTCAACGAGTTTGCATTATTTCTTGGATTTTCATGAATAATCTATCAAAGTCACATGCTACTTACATTCAGTGTAATAATTGGCATGTGAATATATTTTATTTTATTTAAACTTTGTGTTGGGCACAAAGAATTCTGATGAACACTGTGATTACTTCACCATTTTTACACTGACAACATCCTCATTTCCATGTATTTATGCTGTCATGTCACTCTAGCATTTGGAATACTTAATTTTAGGTTTCATTTAGTAAGAAGTTCTATCTTGTCAGCATGGAAATGTATTTGGAATGATCTGTGCACAGCATTTTGCATTTTCAATATTGTGTGCCTGTGTCACCGTGTTCAGAAATTTCTTCGTATTACAATGTAATGCGACTTATTCCACAACAGCCATGAAATTTAAAAAAAAATGCCCTTTCTGCCTTGGAAATTGGTATGGTTGATGTATAATACAAAACTTATTCTTGGGAGGGAACCAGAGTATTTGCTTTTAATGGCATTGCCACTATGTTGTGTGTTTGGTGGTAAAGATTTTCGAAGATTAGATTATGATGACCTCTGTGCATGTTGTTCACATGCAAGTTCTGTTTGTAACTACACATGATATTTTTCAGTGTTAATAAGAAACTTTCTTTTTCTTTGCATTTTGTATTTGTAGTGTATTTTCTGTTGTTCAAAAGGCATGTACTGTTTTAAGGAGATATTCATTGTATCCTGATTTTTTTGTGGATATCATTAATGTATTATTTATTTCTTGTGCATAATGTACATTCCATCAGTAATTGGTACTGTTATTTTGGTGTGAAATGAAGTATGTATAGTGAAATATTTAACAGTTTTGTAATGGTCTTTGTTTCTGGTGTACCTAACTGGGGATTCCCCATCCTGTCACTTTTGCTTACATAAACACATGCATGTCTTCATGTAAAGTGTCCATTACTGTTGTCTGAACTTAACCAGAATTGGAATGTGTCAACAAATTTAATTAAAACTCCCCATTATCAATTGTAATGGAATTCTGTTAAGCAATTCTTTAGTTGTTATAAGCGGGCAAACATATTGTGAAAAAAGTAGGACACAATTTCCAACTTTATTTGTGAACTTGCTTACAAATATTGTAAAGTTCTCTCCAGCTACCAGCTGTATCATGAGGTTAAAAGGTGCCTTTTAACCACCTGACTTGGATGGTAGTCCAAGATAACTTTATTTTGTCACATCACCATGACAGCTTCAGATCTACAAATAATAAACCTGCTAATATAATTACAACCAGCCCAGTCCTGGAACATTACGTATGGTGGACTGACTATGTAATATATTGTTGAGATCATTATAAACTTAATTCTGGGAACAGACAAATTCTATTTGGAGTATGACTGTATGTTACAACTGAGTAGTTAGCACTTCATGCTTTGTATTTGGGATATCCTGGGTCCAAATATTGACCTGAAGACTAGCAATCCTAAAACATGTTTTGTGGTTTTTCTCATTCTCTCCACGACCTGAAGACCAGCAATCCTAAAACGTGTTTTGTGGTTTTTCTCATTCTCTCCAGGCAAATGCTTAGATATTACCTTAAATTATGCCACACTGCTTATTTGCAAATCATTTCCAATTTATCATTCATTGAACATAATATTCGATGCTATATAGTCTGACCTACTGACAGCATTATTGGGTTAGTTAATTCCTTTTATTCCTCTTGGGAACATAGGGCTGAGACAGCATTATTAAACGAACAAAAATGAAATATAATTGTAATAAGGTAGAAGTGCATAAAAGTAGAACAAATCTGATGTACCTATTCATAAAAAGGACATTAACAAATTACTAGTAATTATTGAAAAATGTTAGTTAAGTCCATGCAAAATTTGTTATCTAACATTCTTTCAGAAAGGTTAACCCAGTACTGGGAACGATCATTGTCGATTCTGACATAATATGTAAACTGTTGATAAGGTACTCTTCATTTGTCAGATAATACAGAAAAAATTGGAGTACAGTGGATCAGTTATGTATAGATATTACTAAAATGTATAACAGGATTTTAAGATATATTTGTTAAATTTAATATATTAATGAAACTAGTTAGGTAACTGAGAACATGTTTAAAGGCAGCGTGTTGTAAAGTGTACATGGTTAAGCACTTTCCCCTTGAATTTCTGATTTAGAATAGTGTGAAAGATGTTTTTTCACTACTACTTTTCAACTTTTGAATGCATGACTACTCTTGTTCATTGAGAGTCAGAAAAACGTGCAATATTTATTATGATACACAGTAATACCAAATAAATTTGAACATATAGGGGAAGGAGTGTTCTATTAGTGGGAATTTTGGATTATAGAACAATTATAATAAATATCAAGTAGTTAATAGAAACAGGTACATTTATTCAGAATCCAGCAACATGTGTTATCTTGGTTGGCACTAGGTCACAAATATGGCAAAAATAAAATTGTATGTAAATATTTAGAATGTTAAATTGAAACCTAACCTAACTTTCTAACCTAAACATGGCTCGTTACGTGTCAGTACTTTGGTGTTTATTCGCAGTTACTAGCTGAAACACTAAACCTTGCCGTGGTATTGGTCACAGTATCTGCCTAGTTTGTAAATTTTATTTTTTCATCTTCACGGTTGTTTCAATGAGCTTAACAAATCGAGTTATAAGCGTCTTCTACGCGTCACATTGTGATATTCAGTGTGTCAAATAAACGCAGTCTGCAGAGATCGGCGATTTAAAGCCGATCTTCAACGAATGCTTGGACCTGCAGGGCAGAAGGTCGTCGTGGCATTACGTAAAAGAGTGGCAGGTGTGGAGTTTGTTCTCAGTGGGTGTTTCGTCAAAAGTTGTTTCGTGAGTTTATTACAAATGTCTGTGTTTTTTGTAGGTTATATTAATTATTCCATGTCAAACCAACACAGAAAAGTAAACATTCCAGCATATCTCCTCAGATGTCAATAAAGTTTTTACATCCCTTAACAGAGGTGAGTTGCGGCACAGAAATTCCAGAAAGCTGCTAAAGTCAAGAAACCGTGCTTCAGGTTATGCAACCATTAATAAAGGTTAAATTAATTCGGGAAACTTCATGTATAAAATATTTTTCGCGCAATTATTAAAGCAACTTCCACTAAATGCATGCTCGTACGATTTTATAACATGACAAATTAGATGACCTTGAATATTCCACTTATCAAAACACGTGCAATTACTCAAAGGAAATGTTATCTTTAAAATGAGACTAATTTGGGCTCTTTCTTAATTAGGAATAGATTTATGAAAGTTTAGAAACATTAAGTCACGCTATAAAATTTTTTTTTTTAAAATTCAGTTATGAATGAGGAGCTGTTGTATGTAAAGTTCTTATCATAACTCATCTGTGTGAAGGGTTGTTCCACAATAAATTTCATTGAAATGTAAGGGGTTAGATTGAAATTAGTACTTTTGTGTGTTTATTTGAAATAAAATGACATAATCCGTAGTATTTTACAATTGCTGTAAAAGTGAAATAAAATATACACGTGGTGCATCGTGATGTGCAGGTTTAGCGTGTGTTAGTCAAATAGTCTACTAGTGGGGCTGTCACGGACAACGAGTTAAGGTAAGTCAAACTAAGACACTTCAGTAAAACGTAGTTCAGATATATAGTCTAATGATTGTGATCTTCCATCATCAAATGTCTCTACCTGAATAGTACTATCCGCAGGTGTGTATGGTATGACATGCGCACGCGCCGCTCGCTTGTGTCCTTGGTCATACGACAATGTTACATTGTAATTTCTATAAAATAAACGTATTCATTGCATAAAGACCATTTTAGATTATGAGTAATTAGATGAATGCCTTTCGATATACGTCATTCTACTCTGTAATAAAAGATTACGGCATTTAACCCGAAATGAATTCGTGTTGAAGTAGTGTAGTAGTTCAGACTGTTGACTAAAGGCAGTGTTCAGCAATGGGCGTGCCTCGAATCTTTATAGGAAATTGCATATTCGCGCATTTATTTAGAAATACGTAATGTCTTACGTTTCGCAGTTAGAATTTGTAATACACGCGGGTTCATTATCGATAATTGTATTCAGCGCGTGTATTTTGTTTTCATATGCTTGAATTCTTATGGTTTGTTTGTAGTTTATTTAACGACGCTTTCTCAGTAGCTCAGACTATATAGTGTCGATGCATTCTTAGAGGGCAAGGATTTACGTACGTGTAAATACATATTTGTGGTCATATATAGTTTCGTACCCCCTTTTGTGAGGCTAAATATTGTGGAAATGTTGATGATAATTCTTAATGTGGATATTAAAGTATCGTAGAATATCGGCCTATTCCACTATCTAACAGCTAAGATTTTGCGGGTTGGCCTAAGGTGGAAAACGTAAAACTGAGAGGTTTTGAAAGGAAAATAGATACAGAATGCCCACCCAGACTTGGAAGTGACCTGCGTAGATTTCATAACAGGAAAATTTAAGGGAATTCGTAAACTGACACCATCTTTCGGGAATCCTGAGTACTAATCAGAGGTAATTTGTTATTTGGCTGTGAACTGAAAGACTGGATTACGTTTCTAAAGTTCTTTTTAGTTTTATGTTTCACATTATTGTAAAGCGTGCGAGCCTAAACATTTCCTTCGACTTTTAATCCTACTTTGTTTCAGATTATTGTAAAGCGTGCGACCCTAAACATTTCCTTCGACTTTTAATCCGTGATCAGTTTTAGTTTATATGATTTAGCGATCTTATATCAACTGTACGACATATTAGTTTTAGTTACTGTTGAACAAATTGAGAGGATGGGGTTAGGAAGCCGATAGTCGTGGACTGGTTATTAAGGTACCATTGGGTGTAAGGAATTTATGTAGACGTAAAGTATAATTTTATAGGGAGGAGTATTGGTTATGTAGGTCTACTGATTGCAAATCACTGCACGAAGTGGATAATGGATAGCGAGACAGAAAGTCACCCATTTTTTTCCTTTTGGACAGATTATTCTAACTGCAAATTGATTCCGACGGAAATATTAAAAACCACTGAACTGGGGACAATATTAAACCTATACTGTCTGCACAGAATGCTATGAATATATTCTTCTGAGTACCAGAAATTCTGGTTTACATCTTAGTGGTGTAACGTTTCAACCAGTCTCAAGCAACTTGCGAAAATGACGTGTTCGTTTGTAAGGGCGGTGATAGATGAGAAACGAATAATGATGCAAACATGATTAACAGTCGAAAAACAAAGAAGGCACAGAAGAGCCTGCTCTATTGGTGACTCCATTTACGACGTATTTCGCTTGAACACGGGTTTCCCGTAATGAGAAGTTAGTGTCTACCCTCCTGAGGCATTGTTTAGCCCAATCCCTGAAGAGTTTTAAATATTTTAGAAACCATTTATGCCATGTTAGATTAGTAAAGGTAGACAGGCGATTGAACTGTTTTTGGTCTATTCTCTTGAGCATTCCCCCGCATATTACAGTGTAGGTCCAGTGACGTTGCTGCTAGAATTGCATTTACTAAGGGAATCATTTCAAGCGGGAGGAAAGACTGAACACGTGCGCAAGAAATTCCATCTCTTCTGTGTAAATACGGCTTTGAACTTCCTGTCTGTGATGTGGGTAGTGATCTATCACACGCCTTGAAATATTGGAAAATCCAGTTACACTTCTATTATTTCAGTGACAACTTTCAGCTTATTTTACACAGGACCGATGAGGATTTATGGTTGGTTCCATGAGGTAAGCATTGACGTAAGGCGCGTTCGTAATCTAACAATTCGCCAGGGTCGTGCTGTGATCGCTTTTACTCCCACAGGGAGAGCATACCCAGGCCTTGCCCCCACTTATCTCCACAGGGAGAGCATACCCAGGCCTTGCGACACCACACGTCATTTTGGACATCATATAGGGAAATGAGTATCAACATTCCTGTCGGGAATTGAACTTTGGTCGGTTTATGTGTCCAGCTGCTTTACCGATTGAGCTGTCACACTTCCTTTCTGATACCAGAGA